CAGCTGCCTTAGCTGGAAGAAGCTAGATTTCACTACAGCTTTTATCTGGCTGTCAAATTTAAGGTCTGAGTCCACTTTTAGTGTCGGGTCGCACAGTGAGAACAAACATCGTACGTATGAAACCCTGCAGTTTCGTTGTAGTTGAAGTTGCGAGCCACAATTGAAAAAAAAAAATAAAAATCGCACAGTGCAGGCCCGGCTTAAAACTAGCTGGGTACCTTAGGATCTCCCAGGATGGCGATCCCCACTGACAGCTTCCTCTTCTGGCCTCCGCTCAGACTCTTCGCCTGAGCCGTCATGATTTTCTCCAAGTCCAAGTCCTTCAGGACTCTGGTGACCTGTCAGGAACAAAGATTCAGACTTTCTGAACGTCACAGAACGCTCCTGAATCAGTGAACTTTGGGATAAATAAAAGCAGTTGAGTAAAAACAGCAGAAAATGGCGGCGGGTACCTCAGCGGGGACGTCAGCAGGCGGGATCCCTTTGATGGCAGCAAATATCTTGAGGTGCTCCTCCACCGTCAGCACATCAAAGATGATGTTGAACTGAGGGCAGATTCCCACCAGCTGCTTCATCTCTGAGCCCTCTGCAATGTCCGCCACGGGGGAGCCGTATATGGCCGCCGAGCCGCTGGTGGGGGGGCAGATACCGCACAGGATGTTCATCAGAGTGGACTTTCCTGCGCCGCTGTGTCCCAGCAGAGCTGTGATCTGACCCTCATAGATATCGAAGGTCAGGCCTGAGGGAGGAAAGCAGCAGAGCATCAGCGGACGAACCGCCGGACGTGGCGAGCTTCAGACGCCACGGCTCACCTCTCAGAGCCTCCATGCTTTTCTCCTTGTCTTTGTAAACCTTCCGGATGTTGCTGATCCTGTCGGAGCAACAGAGGTTCAGTGAAAGCTGTTAGCAGAGATTTCAGATGAAGATTAGCCAAAACGCATCAGACCAGAGTTCCCACAGCATGAGGCCAGTTCAAATCAGGACTTTAAGACTTTTTAAGGCCAATTAAAAGAAAAATTTAAAACTGACTTTACAATAAACACAAGAAAAACCTGGCAGCGACAAATTTACCCCAAATGTTTATTTGAACATATAAAGCAGGAATCCCCAGAGTGGGACCAGGAGCGCCGCTGCCTGCAGGTTTTACTGGTTTCTCTGGTTCAGCACAGCTTTTAAAACAATGTGAACCAAGAAGATCAGACAGATCATCTCTTTTAAATTGAACCTTTTCCCTCAGATGTGTTTTTTTATCTTGCTTTCAGATGAACTCCAGTATATCTCCCATATAACAAAGACTGAGCTGTTGTGAAGCAGATGTTAGCTGGATGCTAGCAGGACCTGATTTCTAAACCTTCCTAACGTGTAGAAGTGGAATATTACCGGATGGCTTCTTTCCCTCTGAACTCCGGGGAGACGGGCTCCACGTTCTCATCTCCAACTGGAGCGCCGTTGGCCTCAGCATCGAACACGGAGCTCACTTCAACGTAGCGCTTCCTGTGTTTGGACCAATAACGCGGCTTCAGGAAGTAGAGCACGGACCTCTTAATCCCGAACTCACCTGAACATCAGACACATGATTTCAGTGAATTTATGCTCCTAAAAGCAGAGGCAGCGTGTTCGGCTGGTAGATTATCTCCTTCAGGCAGATTAAAAACAGAATTATTAAATATTTCTTCCCCTTTCAAAATGCTGCAGACTTTATTACCCAAACCTCAGCATTTTCCTGACAGTTTAGATCAATTCTGGACCTTTAGATGGAAACCAGTCCCTGAAACGGACCAGAATGTCTGAACTCCTTCTGTCCAGGGCTGCAACTAACCATTATTTAGCAAATCCTTTATTTTCTGATTAACTGATCAATAATCAGATAGAAAAAACATTCATTAAAGAAGATTTTTTACTAGATTAAACCAAGTGAAACTAAAACTTTTCCACTTGAATTAAACGGAAAATGTTTACATTTTGTTTTACAATCTTGTTATAATTCCTGCTCTAAGCTTGTTTCTCTCTCAGCTAGAGGAATATTTTACAGTCTCTATTCTCCAGTTAACCTTTAATCAATCACTTAATTAGTTTAGGATTATTTCAATAAACCTGTAAATAAAATAGAACATATCTGACATTAAGTTAAATTAAATAAAACACAGATCTTCATCTCTGAATCCATTTCTGCTGCGTTTTATTGGGATGAATTCATCTCTGTCGTTTCTCTCCTCAAAGCTAAAATTTGTCCCAGATATTAAAACTCAGAAGTAGGGATGCACAGTATTGGGATTTTGGCCGATATCCGATATTTTAAAACGATAACCGATATCGATACCGATGTTAAAGCTGGACAAAAATAAG